CCCCCCCCCCCTTCCCAAGCTACTTCGTTTTCCTAAGGTGTCTGAAGGAGAGATTACTCGCAGGTTGCATATGTAATAATACTATTCTTTTTGTGCCTTTTTTTTTTTTTTTGGCTTCCTTTTTTTTTTCTGCTAAAAGCAGATATAGTAATCAAGTACAGAATCACCTGTGTTCAGTAAAGCTCTGAGGAATTATCATGCATAGGATGTGCTAGGAGAAGGCACCAAAGCAATCAGTTTTAAACCAGCTGCACAGATATAATAGGAAATGATAGCTTTAGCAAATGGATCCTAGTAATTATATTTCTATCACTCCCTGGTATATTGTGTTTTAGTTTCTCAGAACAAATCTTAACTTATTCAACATAAATTGCACAAATTTCTAGATCTCAGTCTGAGGGACTATGCTAAAAATCCACAAGGAAAAGTTTAATTTAGCACGGTAACAAATTATACTTAAATATTTTTTTTAAGTGTTGGGGGTTGTTGTTGTTTCTGGAGCCTTTCCCTCTTGTTTCTTGTGTCCAAGATTAAAAGAAACCTGCAAGGATGTATAAGCAAATTCCACATGGAGTCCTTTAAACCATACTACTTTTCACAGTAAAGACACTCAATTTGGGGGACATCACTCATTTCAAGTCTTGGAATTTTGTCTGCTAAGTTGGTATTCCCTAATTCTGATGGCTGAACATTCTTTACAGCAGAAATAATCAGAAAGGGCTATTTATACAAAAGCATACATGCCATATCATTAACTCAAACAGAAGGCCTATAGGATTGATTCAGAGCTTACTGGATATGGTACTTTGCTCTGTGTTGTGCAGAAGTTTAGACTGAATGATCATAATGGTCTCTCTTTGACTTAAAAAAATCTATTAACCATTTAAAGTTTTTTCTGTGTGTGTGCGCGCGCGCGTATGCATGGGTGCATGTGTGTCTGTCACTCATTTTGGATCTTTGTCTCTTATTTGGGCCTTAACAGTTTGAGATGAATGGCCATAATATAAACCGAGCATGAAAAAAATGTTCCTAGACAGTGATTTATATTTTTTGTTACATACAAGGAGCAGCAGCAGCCAACGAAAAGAGAGAAGAATCAAAGTACAAGGCAGACCACCAGTAGAGTATTTCCTGTAAATCTGCTAAATATTTTAAGAAAACCCATGAGAACTGCTCTCCTATGGATACTCTTCACAGCATGTTTCAGTATATTCAAAATATTTACTCTTCTGCAGCATCCTCAGTCTACAAATTATAATGGCCTTTACAAAGAGAGAAAGGGAAATGAGGTCCTTGTCTTGTTGGGTACAGTGTACATCCTGTGAGAGGATCTGCTCCTTCAACTCAGGGGAGATGAAGACATTCAGCTCTTTGTAGGATTAGGATCTGCATAATAATATAAGCAGGGTAAGTAAAATTTACTCAAGCCTGAAACTAACATTAGTTAGAGTCTTCCTACTTTGTGGGTGGGTTATTTTCACTGCCAAAGGGGCCAATGGAAATATAAACATGAAGTGAAATCGCTATTACTTTATTTGCTTTTTTAAAAAGTTCTACGTCCATGTATTGTAAAGCAAGAGCAGGAGAAAAGGTATTTAGAAAGACCAAGCATCATGGGGGGGGGGGGGTGTGTGTGTGTGTGTGTGTGTGTGTGTGTAAAATATATATGAATATGCTATAAACCGGTGGTATATCTTTGTATCAATTGGGTTTGGACGAAGAGGAAACACTAAAAAAAAAAACCAACAACAACAAAAAAACCCAAAAAACCTAGGGTGGAAATTGGTTGAAAATATTTAGGATGAATTAAAAATACAAATGTTATTTTGGTTACATTCATGTGAACATAGCAAGTCTAAGTTTTTCCTCACTGCCAGATGGCCTGAGGCAGAGTGGGGTTTTTTTTGCACTTGTGGTTGATGATACTGTTGGGCAGACAAGGGAGACAGATGCAAACTGTCACAGCTTACCAGATGACAGATGTCCAGTGCAAAAACTTGTTCCACAAAGTGGTCTAATTCTCTAATAAGCTACAAGTGGAAATGGATGCAGGTCTCTACTGAAGCTGGTAAGATAGGACCAACATGCCTAATGTTTGATACATCAGGGAGATGATCTCCTTTTCACCACACTTCTATTAATCCACATACAAGGACTGTGGGGTATGACCAATGAGCTGGAACTATACTGTAAGATGGAGGGCTGAAAACAGTCCATCCAGACAGGTGGGAGCAGACACAAGAGAAGGAGAATGACCAGAACGCTTTGATGTTAATGCTAGTTGGTTTCCCAGATGAGTTAACACTGTTGCAGCCTAGTTAAGCTACATCCCTTGTATCTTCTCTTTCTGTGTGGCTGGGACAGGTGTTTGGTACTGCAGTATGACTGACTAACACAGAGAAATAAGATTTACCAGGAAAGAATAATGCAGGAAAGTTATTTTTTTTAATATAATTCAGCTACTTTAGTTAAATCAGAATGTAGCAGGTGCATGTGCATGGGGAAATGCTGTCACTGTCCTCTGCAGAGGAGAAACAGATTCAGATCTTTGGAAAATATATAGATGCATTTCCACAGGGTCAGGCTGGGTCTGTGGCTTGATGCCCACAGGGGAGCACAATAAAGCTTCTTTTCTAAAAAAAAAAAAAAACCCCACAAGAAATAAATAGAGTTGT